AGGGTAATGATTAAGTGTCTTGCGTCAGGAGAACTTGCAGTGTCTGGACTGCGTTTTCCGACGGCTGTACAAAAAGGTAAAAGCTGAAATGGTTGCAGTTCAGCTCCACGAATTCAACTTTTGATGACAGTGCTATGTTCAGGTGGTTTAGTTGGAGGAAGGTGGTTGAGAGTTGTTGCCTTCAGGGCAGTGAGTGAGCTGGGGGTGCAAGGTGCGTTGGGTGAAGCGATCAATTCGACTCAACATGCTCGTTTCTGGTACCACCTGAGCTGAACGACAAGGTGAGACGCGGAACGGAACGCGTTCCATCCAGGGGGCGGCGCGAAGTCCAGAAAGATTGGGCTTCGACATGAGGGGAACGAACGAACGAAGAAAACGAATGAACGAAGCAACAAACAAAGCGAGCTGGCTGGACTCACTGTAGCTTGTACGTCAGGGAGTGCGCGAGCCAAAAGATTGCCTTGCCTATTACTGTAGCTTGGTTTGCCTCGACGATCTCCCTCCCTCCCTCTCGAAATACCGAGTCGCAGCGGAAAATGTAAAGCAGTCAATCGACGGACAACATCTCAGACTCCGTTGATTGAGCGCTGGATGTAAGTCTCTGGCACGCGCCACTGACGAGAGAGGGTCGCGCAGCCGAACGTCGGTACGTATACGAGCCTCTCATTGGCTGTTCGTCGGAACCAAACCAGGCTGGTTCATATGGGCTTGTCACCACCTAGGGCGATTGGCATGCCAATCTGCCAGTGGTCTGGGGAGAGCAAGTGGTTATAGGCGTAACTTCTCCCATTGGTTCACATGCCCCCATCAGCAAGGTGAGATGAGCGACACTGTGACTATGCTGGAGTGAAGTGGGCATCGTGCCGCCTCTGGTGTGAGAAAACCCACCTGCGACGCGAGTACGGACGCCATGTGTGCTGGAGGAGAAGATCCCCAGATATACAGAGGCAGGGGTATATAGTTGTTGGAATTCCAAGTCTACATAGGGTTTTTTGGTCAAGCGTTTTTGTTTGTGGGCTCACTGTGAGACCAATTCATTGAGGGGTAGGGGGGTGGAAAGGCCAATATTTCCGGCCCGTTCTGGTTACCAGCACATACAAAAAAATGTTCGACCAGGGGATTACAACAGAGAGTGTTGTGATGATAACATTTTGGCACAGCAATCCGTTTAAAAAAGGTTCGATTCGAGTGCATCCTTACAATCACACCCAGAAACTATCATTTGTGCCAGCTTAATAACATGCATTGCAAAAAAGCATTTATTCATATCTTCTCCTACATTACCACAAAGAAAACCCTAACTCAATACTCGGAACAGTTAAATAACACACTTCCATATTCTCAGCTCGAGGCAGACGGTTTTACTACTACCACAGGACAAGGGGCATGGTTGACACAATAATCTGAAACGCTCCCAATGAGCATCCTGCATGACACACACATTGAACAAATTATGCAGGACACCTCTGAGGTTTTGAGGTACCAATATACAAGTATGATGTTTACAACTGAAACGGTTTCAAAATATGAAAACCACACGTCCTTCGCACTCACCTCTTCACGGGCCCCATACCCCGGCTGCCCAGAATCAACACGTCAGCATCTCTATCCGCCACCTCAGACACGATCCTCTCCCGCGGGTCTGCATCACGCACAACCCTCACCTCGCACTGCAACTGGAATAACGAGGGTTGGCAACGATTGGGTAGTGGGAAGTGATGGGTGGGAATTGATGAACGCACCTCCATCCACACCACATAGGCAGACGCCCACCTCTGGATTGGGGCATCCCTGCGTCTGCAGCCTCTCGAGTTGATTAGTTAAGCGCCTCAAAACAGCAATGGATTTTTCGGCGCTTTTCAAGGTGATTTTTTAGCAGCATTAAACATGAACAACAGGCAGACCCTCACCTCTGCATTGGAGCATCAGTGCAGCAGCAGTCTCTTCAGCTCCGCGTTGACGGCGCTCTGCCGCCCCTCCAGCTTTCTCAAACAGGCAAAACTTCTCCTCGTGCGCACCAAACAAGCCGACCCTCACCTCTGCAGTGGAGCAGCGCTGCAGCAGCAGTCTCTTGAGCTCCGCGTTGACAGCGCTCTGCCGCTCCTCCGTGCGCACAAGGAGCTGATCCATGGCCGCCTCACTCATTGTTGTGTCGCCCAGAGCTGCTTGGCCGTGGCCCGGGGAGTGGTTGGTGGGGTGGTTGTGGGAATGGTTGTTGGGATCATTGTTGGGAGAATTGTTGGAGTGGTTGTTGGGATGGTGGTGGTGGTGGTGGGTGGGGTGTCGCAGGGATTCAGGAAGAGGTGGCAGGAGGGGGAAGAGGGAGTGGAATGGGGTTAGGCACGGTTGATGCAGCAACTCGTCCACTGTAGCAACTGCAGCATCGCTCTCAGCAGCAGCAGCAGCGTCAGCAGCAGGAGAAGCAGCATCAGATGCAGTCACAGCATCTGCAGCAGCATTAGAAGCATCAACCCGGTGAATGTTAGCCGAGCTGCTGCTGCTACTGCTGCTGCCGTTACCAGCAGCACCCGCTTCAGAATCCCAGGCTGCACATCAGCAAGAACAAGGGAAAAAGACCCTCGTATGCTTTCAGTGAAACACAATCCACCGTCCCCCCTCATACCCTCATACGAAAGCCAGTCTCCCCCCTCACACTTGACGGCACCCCTGAACTAAACCTGTCAATGTCCCGTTACCTGACAAGTAACCTATGGAACCAGGTGAAGCATTGCAACTTGACGTCGCCATTCCTGACGAGCTTTGAGTCGACTCAAAACTGGTATGCTATGTAACCAAGTAAACCATTGCAACCAGGCCTTGCTGTTTTGGACGTTACCTGCGTAGATTCCGGGAGCAGTGAGGGCCTCGGTTGGCGATTGCACATGCAGCATCGTAACCAGATCGGACGGCCGCAAATGATTCTCGATCGCCCAATCCACGGCGTGCAAGCTGTTGAGCAGGCGAATGCATGGATGACATCACAACACAGGAGAGAGAAGAAAGAGTTTTTTAAGGTGTCTGTGACCTCGGATGCATTATGACAATGCGACACAGGAAAGTGAATGCGGAGGTTTCTTTAGATGTCTCTGAACCCGAATGCATGGATGACTTCACGACACACGAGGGCGAAGGTGGTTGGAGAAAGCATGAGGAGACGACGCGGGAATGAATATATATTTCTAAGATCTCGACTCACCTATCTCGACTGTGATCCACTGCTACAATCACTCGCCGCTGCTCGCCGTCCGCCGCAGATCCCGCCGCATCCCCCGCCGAGCCTCCCTTTCCGCTTTTACCCGCGGAATCCCCGCGCTCGCGACTGCTTTCCGCGGCTACTGCGCCGCGAGGAGCGCCAGCGGAGGAGGAGGAGGTGGTGGAGGCGGAGGCGCGCTGGCAGGAGGAGGCGGCGACAATCCCGAGGGCCAGCGACACGCCAGGTGCAGCAAAGCGAAACATGACTGGCGCGACTAAAACGAGGCCGTAACACGTCCAGGACAAACGAGAGCTGGACAGAAAAAGGATGCAACTTGGGTTGAATCGGTCAACAGAGTACGTCTAATATAACGACTTGTTCATAAAGCTTATTTGCCAATGCTTAATCCACGCTTAACTCACGAACCAGGAGACGACGTCTCTACTACAGATGCCACTCGTTGGCTTTACACGGCAGAACCAATGGAACGAGAGTTGCCTCGAGGAACAATGCTAGGCCTTCTTGATACTTCAGCCAGGAACGGAACAAGGCTAGAGCAAAAAAGAAATCTAGGTTGTTGTAAGTCGTGACTCGTGATGCGAAGCAAGAAAACCATTCCCGACTCAAATCTACAGCACAGTAAAAACCGGTTTATTCCGGTTTAGATTGTTTCCGAGGCTGTCAGTTAATTTCGCCTACGGTTTGAAGCAGAAACACTGGTACGCTCTTCCTCGCTTCGCGGCGTGTTCTGGGCTTGTCAGAATCTTGAGCCACGTATGACGTGGAACGATATGGGTTGTGACGGTGCAGATATTTCAAATCTGCCTCGTTGGAGTCATGGTCAGTCAGAGTAGGTACTCTACACGATTACCATAATTGAACACCCTTTCAGGATTTATCCTGAAACTTTATTTGATTGCTCTGCATGGTGATTGGACACAGTTTTGAGCTATGTGCAAAAGCCATGTGTTACATGAATGCAAACATGAATTTCCAAGGGACATTTGTATGAGCTCCAGAAGGATGCTCTGCTCCCTATCGCCTCTCAAGGATGCTGTCACTCCAAGAAAGAAGCAGATCCCTTCCAATAGATGGTATGCCTGCATACAGATAACATTGTTGAACAGATCATATCATACCAAAGGACTACAGCAAGAGAGAAAAAGTTGCACAAGCGGAACGAATCACAAGCGGTGGAACCGGGGTTGAGAGAAAACTGTCTTACCTTCAACAATATCTCCCACAAGATCATCGGTCGGCAGATCGTCAGCCACAAGCCGGTATAAATCCATCACCTGTTAAGATATGCAGATGGAGAGAGTTAAGATATGCAACTGCGAGTCAAGGGCCAGACCCCATTTCTTAGTCTCCCCCCCGTCTTCCCCTATGCACCGCTTGCAAATGCAACCGTGAGTCCTGAGTGATTGCTAGCAGAAGCTGCCCCTGGAGCACCTGGTCCATCAGCAGCACACTCGCCCAAACCCCAACCCATGGTCTTTCTCCCCACCCCCTCTCCTCTTCTTCCCCTGTCTCACCTCCTTAACATGCAGCCTTGAGTCCTGGGTGAACGCCAGCAGCAGCTGCCTCCGGAGCCCCGGGTCCATCAGCAGCACGCGCGCCCCGTCCCGTTCCCATCTCATAGTGTCTCAGACCTAGAGCCAGACCCCTATCTTCCTTGCTCTCTTTGACCCATCTCATCTCACCTCCTTAACATGCAGCCTTGAGTCCTGAGTGAACGCCAGCAGCAGCTGGCCTTGGAGCACCTGGTTCATCAGCAGCACACTCGCCCAAACCCCAACCCATGGTCTTACTCCCCACCCCCTCTCCTCTTCTTCCCCTGTCTCACCTCCTTAACATGCAGCCTCGAGTCCTGAGTAAACGCCAGCAGCAACTGCCTTCTAAGCCCCGGGTCCATCAGCAGCACGCGCGCCCCATCCCGAATCGTTTCCCTCAGGTCCAGACCCCCGTCCGCCACCGCCGATGCTGCTGACGTGGCGGCTCTGGCTGGGCCTGTAGCGGAGAAGCCTGTAAGGAAGGCTGGGGCCAGAATCGGCAGGGCGAGCTGGCTGAGGCTCCTGAGGTTGGTGATGAGGGCGAGGGGAGGGGGGGGAAGCGAGGGAGAGGAGGGAGGGTGAGGGAGAAGAAAAACAATTGTGTTTGTACAGGGAGCATGCATCGGCAGGGCGAGTTGGCTGAGGCTCCTGTGGTTTAGGGAGGACGGGAGAGGTGAGGGAGGGCAGTGGAAGGAGAGCAAGGGAGGGAGGGAGGCAGGGGTAAGGAGAGTGAGAGAGGCAGGGGAAAGGAGAGTGAGGGAGGCAGGGGTAAGGAGAGTGAGGGAGGCAGGGGTAAGGAGAGTGAGGGAGGCAGGGGTAAGGAGAGTGAGGGAGGCAGGGGTAAGGAGAATGAGGGAAAAGGTGAAATTATATGTCTTTGCTGGGAACCAGGAAAGGCAACGCGAGCTGGCTGAGGCTCCTGTGGTTGGGGAATGAAGGGGAAGACCGCGGGAGTGAGGGGGAAGGGGGGTGAGGGGGAGAGAGGAAGGGGGTTGAGAAGAGACAGGGAAGGACGAGGGAGACTCACACCAACTCACAAATCTGAACTAACGACTCACCCGAATGCAGCAGGGTCTAGTGGGAAGAAGCGTGAGTTAGAGACAACAGCTGCCGGTGCCGGTGTTGCTGCTGCTGCTGCCGTCTAGGTGGTGCGCCCTGTTGGCCGGCGCCACTTGCAAACGCTCCTTAAGGACACTCACACCACCTCACCTTCCTGAACTCACAACACAACTCACCCGAAGGAAGCGGGATCAAGCGGAAAGAAGCGTGAGTTGGGAACAACAGCCGCCGGTGCCGGTGTTGCTGCCGCTGCTACCGCTGTGACAGTGCCGTCTGGGTGGCGTGCTCTGTTTGCTAGTGCCACTTGCTCCTTGGCCAGTGTGATCAGATTCTCCAGGCGCTTCCACTGGAACACACCGTCCTTGAATAGCACCTGGGTGTGTGTGCGGGAGTGGGAGTGGAAGAGGGAGTGAGCGTGATAGTGGTACACTCCTCCTCAACTCTCCAGGCGCTTCCACTGGAACACACCGTCCTTGAAGAGCACCTGAGAGGGGAGGCGAGCGAGAGCACCAGAAGATGTGCGAGAGAGAGAGAGAGACGGGGGCATGAGACAGGGGCTCTGTTGGTTAGCCGGGGCCACCTGTTCCTTGGCCAGTGTGATCAAATTGTCCAGGCGAGGCGGTTCCACTGTACCAACCCATCCTTGAATAGCACATGGTTGTGTTGTGTGTGCGGCCGAGAGGGGGCCAGTGAGGGAGAAATCGAGCGGAGAAGCGAGGGTGAGAAAGAGTGGGCGTCTCTAACGGGTGGAGTGGATGTGTGGAGCAGCAAGTGCATACCTGGATGAGTCGAGAGCGCAGTGCCAGGTCGGGATCAGTCAGGAGTCGCTTGGCCACGTAGGGGTAGGCCACTTTGAGGAACTTGAAGTTGGGCTCGAGGGAGAGGCAGATGCCCTCCTGGGTGAGCAGCGAGCTGTGAGAAGCAACTGTAGAAGCAGCTGGATGCGTGGAGCCCGTACACACCTGGATCAGCCGGGACCACAGTGCCGGGTCGGGGTCTGTCAGCAGGCGTTTCGCCACGTAAGGGTAGGAGACCTCAAGGAAGGAACTTAAAGTTGGGTTCGAGGGAGAGGCAGATGCCCTCCTGGGTGATCAGCGAGTTGTGAGACGTGTGAAATCACAGGAATGCAAGTAGCATGTGCGTACCTGGATGAGTCGCGAGCGCAGACCCGGGTCCGACAGCAGGCGCTTGGCCACGTAGGGGTAGGCGACTTCGAGGAACTTGAAGTTGGGCTCGAGGGAGAGGCAGATGCCCTGCTGGGTGAGCAGCGAGTTGTGAGACGTCTCACACACCACCAGAACGGGAGGAGCAACATGTGTGCATACCTGGATGAGCCGAGAGCGCAGAGCCGGATCAGGGTCAGTGAGTAGGCGCTTGGCGACGTAGGGGTAGGCGACCTCGAGGAACTTGAAGTTGGGCTCGAGGGAGAGGCAGATGCCCTCCTGGGTGAGCAGCGAGCGGATCACGAGGGAGAAGCGCTCGGGGATGCGGATGGGGAAGTTGTACACCAGCTGGTTGAACTTCCCTGGACGGGGGTGGGGGAGGAGTGGAAAGGGAGGAAGAGTGGGATGAGGTGGATTGGGTTAGGAGACATTTGGATGACGAGGGAGAAACGCTCGGGAATGTGGATGGGGAAGTTGTACACCAATTAATTGAACTTCCCTGCAAGATACAAAAATTGAGGGGTTAGAGTGGGGTGAGTTGGGTTAGGAGACATTTCAATGATGGGGGAGAAGCGCTCCTGAGTGCGGATGGGGAAGTTGTACACCAGCTGGTTGAACTTCCCTGGGCGGAGGGAGAGAAGGGTCGATGGGGATGAGTGGGTGGGGGTGGAAGTGGGTGGAAGAGGGTGGAAGAGGGTGGAAGGAGTTTGGGAAGGAGAGGGAAGGGAGGAAGGGGGGAGTGGTGAGAGCTGGGTTTGGAGACAGTTGGATCACCAGGAAGAAGAAGTGCTCCAGAATGCGGATGGGGAAGTTGTTCATCAGCTGGGAGGAAGGGTAGAGGGAGGGGAGGGTATCTGCAGCAAAAGCACCCCACCCCGCATATGAGAATTCTCAAAAGTTTTTTTTTTAGAGTTCTTAAAAGTTGTTCACCAGCTGGTTGGATGGGTAGAGGGAGGGGGAGGATGCCTGCAGCAAAAGCATCCCACATGCACACCACCTAATGTGCTCGTCGCCCTCCCCTCAATCCTCCCTTCCCATCCCCCTCCTCCTCTCCCTCTCTCACTCACGTGTGACGGTGCGGAAGTTGAAATCCGCCAAACTCTGCCCCGTGCTGTTCTGCCAGATGGCCTCTAATGCCGGCACGATGGGAGTCACGTCCGTGCCGGGCGCCAGGAAACCCAACCTTGTAAAATCCCCGGCCATTTCCACATAGTCCTCATTGACAGCATGCACGATGGCGTCTATGAGGATCTCCTTGTTGTACTGGCTCAGCTCCGCCACGTTGCCAAAGTCCACGTAGGCTATTCGGCCATCCCTCATCGCGAATATGTTGCCTGGAGGGGGGAGGGGGAGGGGGAGAGGAGGAGGAGGGGGAGAGAGGGAGGGGGAGGGCAAGGAAAGGGGGAGATGGAGGAGAGGGAGGGGAGAGAGAGGACAGGTAGCATTGAAGCTAAGGCGCGTTGAAGTCTCTCACCATTTCCTTGACGGCTTGCACCCACGAGGAGTCACACCACGCAACATCACACCATACCGCACTGTGCCCCACCCCACCAAACCAAACTGCACCGCATCACACACCTGGGTGCGGGTCGCCATGGAAGAGGCCGAACTCTAGCAGCTGGCGGAGAGCGGCACTGACTCCCACCGTGAGGAACACCTCCGTGTCTATGCCCGCTGCTCGGATGGCCTGGCGTGGGGAAGAGAACAAGATACGGGAAGGGAAGAGCAAATGAGTGACCAGCCCAAACTCTAGCAGCTGGCGGAGAGCGGCGCTGACTCCCACTGTGAGGAACACCTCCGTGTCTATGCCCACTGCTCGGATGGCCTGGTGAGGGAAGAGGGAGAGACAAAAGGACCGTTTGAGACAAAAGGGAGGGAAGAAAACACATATGAATGGGAGGGGATTGAGCAGCTGGCGGAGAGCGGCGCTGACTCCCACCGTGAGGAACACCTCCGTGCCAATGCCCGCTGCTCAGATGGCCTGGCGTGGGGAAGAAAGAAACACAGAAAAGGGGAGAACAGACACGTGTGATTGAGAGGAGACTGAGCAGCTGGCGGAGAGCGGCACTGACGCCCACCGTGAGGAACACCTCCGTGTCTATGCCCGCTGCTCGGATGGCCTGGTGAGGGAAGAGGGAGAGACAAAAGGACCGTTTGAGACAAAAGGGAGGGAAGAACACACATAAGAATGGGAGGGGATTGAGCAGCTGGTGAAGGGCAGCGCTGACTCCCACCGTGAGGAACACCTCCGTGTCAATGCCCGCTGCTCGGATGGCCTGGCGTGGGGAAGGGCACAGGCAAAGACGAGGTGCAGGCGTGAGTTTCAGGTATAGGTTGAGATTATTAACCGTTTTTTTTTTTGTACCCATCCCCAACCCCACCGCAACCCCATTCCTCAACCCCTAACCCCACCCTCTATCCTTCCTCCTATCCCGCACCTGGGGGTCAGTGCAGCGAATCCCGTCGATCCATTCCATCACCAGCACCCGCTCCCCGCTCATCTCCGCGTAGCACAGCGGAATCTTGACCGTCGGATCTCCCAGGAAATTCTCGTAGAAGCTCTGGATGTTGCGGGCCTCCTGGCGGTAGTCGAGCTCCTCCAGCAGCTTCTCGCCAAACTCGTCGACGATGAGCTCGGCGTTGCACCCGAGCTTCTGTATGGAGATGCCGTTCAGGAAGGAGGCCAGCGTGCGGAAGAGGAAGAGGTCGCGGTAGATCACTGGCTCTATGCCCGGCCGCAGCACCTGGGGAAGGGGAAGGAGAGGGGGAGGGCAAGGAGGGCAGAGGATAGGAGCGGGGCGCTGGTGCAACTGCACTGAACTGCCGTTCAGGAAGGAGGCGAGCGTGCGGAAGAGGAAGAGGTCGCGGTAGATCACTGGCTCTATGCCCGGCCGCAGCACCTGGGGAAGGGGAAGGAGAGGGGGAGGGCAAGGAGGGCAGAGGATAGGAGCGGGGCGCTGGTGCATCTGCACTGAACTGCCGTTCAGGAAGGAGGCCAGCGTGCAGAAGAGGAAGAGGTCGCGGTAGATCACTGGCTCTATGCCTGGCCGCAGCACCTGGGGAAGGGGAAGGAGAGGGGGAGGGCAAGGAGGGCAGAGGATAGGAGCGGGGCGCTGGTGCATCTGCACTGAACTGCCGTTCAGGAAGGAGGCGAGCGTGCGGAACAGGAAGAGATCGCGGTAGATGACTGGCTCTATGCCCGGCCGCAGCACCTGGGGAAGGGGAAGGAGAGGGGGAGGGCAAGGAGAGGGGGAGGGCAAGGAGGGCAGAGGATAGGAGCGGGGCGCTGGTGCATCTGCACTGAACTGCCGTTCAGGAAGGAGGCGAGCGTGCAGAACAGGAAGAGATCGCAGTAGATGACTGGCTCTATGCCCGGCCGCAGCACCTGGGGAAGGGGAAGGAGAGGGGGAGGGCAAGGAGAGGGGGAGGGCAAGGAGGGCAGAGGATAGGAGCGGGGCGCTGGTGCATCTGCACTGAACTGCCGTTCAGGAAGGAGGCGAGCGTGCAGAACAGGAAGAGATCCCAATAGATCACCGGCTCGATCCCCGGCCGCAGCACCTGGGGGGGGTGGGGGGGGGGAGAGGGGAGGAGGGAGGAGGGGGAGGGGGAGGGGGAAGCAGGGGGATGTGGAGGGGGAGGGGGATGGGGAGGAGAAGGTGAGCTCAGCGTTGCACCCGAGCTTCTGAATGGAGATGCCGTTCAGGATTAGATCGCGGTAGATCACCAACTCAATCCCCGGCCGCAGCACCTGAGGAAGGGGGAGGAGAGGGGGAGGGCAAGGATGGCAGAGGATAGGAGCGGGGCGCTGGTGCATCTGCGCTGAACTGCCGTTCAGGAAGGAGGCGAGCGTGCGGAAGAGGAAGAGATCCCGATAGATGACTGGTTCGATCCCCGGCCGCAGCACCTTGGGTTGGGGGGGGGGAAGGGGTGGGGGGAGGGGGCCTCTTCCTGGTGGCCCTTTTCTACAAGGGACCATAAGCCACCAGATGCACGGGAGATGGATGGGTTCTCACACTTAGAAGCATTTCAAACGCCCACCCCACCCATAGTGCATGCCAGCCAGCCGTATCGACCTCCTCACCTTGACTGCCACCTCGGCTCCTGAGGCTCTCAGCCTGGCTCGGTAGACCTGCCCGAGGCTGGCTGCGGCAACAGGCTCAGGGGAGATGGCGCTGAATGTCTCCTCCAGGGGCACCCCCATGTTGGCCTCGATGATGGCAAACGCTTCCTGCAGAGGAGGCGAGGGATTGCGGAGAAGGGAGAAGAGGGTTGCTTGATATGTACCGGGCATTAGGGAAGGGGCGAAGGTGGGGAAGAGAAAAAGGATAGCAGGTTGGCTGGTAGAAAGGCAAAGAGATGGCGCTGAAGGTCTCCTCGAGAGGCACCCCCATGTTGGCCTCCATGATGGCAAACGCTTCCTGGGGGAGGGTAGGGGGAGGGCGGGAATGTAGGGCGGTTGGAGGGGGTAAGGGGAAGAAATTGGTTGGTCAGCCGGTCGGTACCCAGCGGGAGGGATGGCGCTGACTGAAGGTCTCCTCCAATGGAACCCCCATGTTGGCCTCTATGATAGCAAACGCTTCCTGCAGGGGGTTAGGGATGTAAGAAAGTCGGAAAGAGGAGAGGCTGCTTGGTTGGCTTTGCAGCTACAATGGCGGAGAAGTGCCTCTCTAAGCGTGGCTTCTAAAGGTGAAGAGACTGTGAAAGCGCAGGTGCCTGAGAGCTGCCTCCCAGCACCGCTTGAGACATCTCACCTGAGTGGGGAAGGCTGGAACATCGTCCTGCAGAATGCAGCGCTCGTTCATGTAGTCCTCTCTCATGATATCGGGCCGGTTCGCCACTGCTTGCACAGGAGGCAGCTTGCAACAGCCTGCCTACCAGCATTACCCAGAACGTCTCACCTGAGTGGGGAAGGCAGGAACGCCGTCTTGAAGGATGCAGAGCTCGTTCATATAGTCTTCCCTGATAATGTCCGGCCGGTTCGCCACTGCTTGCACAGGAGGCAACTGGCAAAGCAGACTTGATGAACGATGGGCCCAGGCGGCACAGCAGACTGCTTTCCCCTGCGACCTGCGTTACTCTGAGTGCGGGCAGTCTCACCTGAGTGGGGAAGGCAGGAACGTCGTCTTGAAGGATACAGAGCTCGTTCATATAGTCTTCTCTCATAATATCCGGCCGGTTCGCCAGCACCTGCCCCGACTTGATGAACGACGGGCCCAGGCAGCACAGCAGGCGGCGCAGCTGGGCGCTTTCAGAGCAGACTGCATGGCAGCTTGTACAGGATGCGGCTTGCACAACAGCTTGTACAGGAGCTTGTTACCTGCTCCCCAGGCTGTCTCACCTGTGTGGGGTAAAGCTGCCTCACCTGAGTGGGGAAGGCAGGGACGTCGTCTTGAAGGATACAGAGCTCGTTCATGTAGTCCTCTCTGATAATGTCCGGCCGGTTCGCCAGCACCTGCCCCGACTTGATGAACGACGGGCCCAGGCGGCACAGCAGGCGGCGCAGCTGGGCGGCGCGCGTCGGCACGTTGCGCTCGTCGAGGCCGACGAGCTTGTCGTAGGAGAGCGAGAGGAAGAACATGGTGAGCTCCCACACGATCTCCGTGCCACGCAGGAGGATGCCCAGGAAGGCGGAAGGGGAGCTGAAGGCTCGTGCTCGCACCTGGGAGGGTAGGGGGAAGGGGGGAGGTGGGGCGCGAGGGCAAGAGGCGGAGAACGGGAAAAGGACGGGGCGAATGGGGTGTGGTGGGTGGGGAAAGGCGGGAACAGGAAGGAAGAGGAAGGTTGGTAGGGCACGTTGCGCTCATCGAGGCCGACTAGCTTGTCGTAGGAGAGGGAGAGGAAGAACATGGTGAGCTCCCACACGATCTCCATGCCTCGCAGCAGGATGCCCAGGAAGGCGGAGGGGGAGCTGAAGGCCCGCGCTCGCACCTGGGGAGAAAAGGGGAAACGGGTGAGATGGGGCACGGGTCGTGGGGCGTGGGGAGAGGAAGAACATGGTGAGCTCCCACACGATCTCCGTGCCTCGCAGCAAGATTCCTAAGAAGGCGGTGGGGGAACTGAAGGCCCGCGCTCGCACCTGGGAGGAGAGGAAGGAGGGGAATGGGAGACGTGGGGTGCGGGGAGAGGAGAGGGAGAGGAAGAACATGGTGAGCTCCCACACAATCTCTGTGCCGCGCAGTAGGATGCCTAAGAAGGCTGATGGCGAGCTGAAGGCGCGCGCCCGCACCTGGGAGTAGATAGGGGGAGGGAGGAAAGTAGGCACGGGGGAAGGGAAGGGCGAACGGGGCATGGTAAAACGCGTGGTGCAAGGGAGGCGTGGGGCGTGGGGAAGTAGATGGGAAAAGGAGGGGACTTACATACTCCACCATCCGTTCAGATCTTCCCCCTCAATACCTTCTCCTCTCTTCCCATGCGCTCTCCTCCACTCTCCGTCTCCTCTCATCGCCCTTCCTCTTCATTCTTCACTCTCCTCGCATCCTCCCTCCCCTCCCTCCCCTCCTTCCTCTCTGGCATACCTCGCCTCCCTCCCCTCTCCAGTTCACTTCCCTCTCCTGCTCTACTCCTGCTATCTAATATGCATCCCTGTTCCTTCTCCTAGGCCGTCAGCTACAATGGAAGAGTTCCATTGACGTTGACCAGCGTTGACTCACCATCTCGGGTGTGTATTTCTTAAAAGGGTTACACACGCCTCGCTCCAGTTCCAGTTGCTCCATCGCCAGCATTTCCCCTCCGGACGGGTCGCCTGCGAGCTGATTGGGCAGGAATCCCGAGTCGCCAACCACCGTTTTCCGCAGAGACAACGGCTTCATTGCCACGTCAGCGCTGCTGCTGTTCATGCGGCTGCTGATTCGTCGCAGAGCGCGCGTCGCGGGACCCGTCGCGGCTCCGTTTCCACTGCGCATTGTTCCGTTACCGTTACCGTTAACGTTTCTGCTGCGTGCCGAGCCATTTCCACTCCCGCTGCGCGCCGAGCCATTCCCGTTGCCGTTCCGCGCTGCGGCGCCATTGCCGTTGCCATTGCCGCCTAAACGCGCACCGTTCTCCCGAGAACCGGCGGGACGCGGGGACGAGTTTCCCCCTCCCCCTGTGGTGGTTTGCGGAGGGCGTGACGTCACGGCCGCGCGGGGACGAGCGGGAAGCGCGGGTAAGCGGAGGTGCGGAGAGGGGGAGGTGGCGGGGAAATGTCGGGGGAGTGAGGGAGCGTAGGGATGGAGAAAGAGAGAGCTGTGGCTGGAGGAGAGGAGGTGAGGTGATGACGCCATGGCTGGGTCGTAGGCCTCAAGCTATGAGTTAAGATGCTGGAATGCTTGGCGTATTGTGCTGAAGATACTGAAAAATGACGTCGACGTTGGCTGTGATTCTGCTCGTCGGGAGATACGGTGACGGTAAACGACTTATGGCGACGTTAGGCGACGATTCGGAAGCAGTGTGCGACGAGAGCGTATTTTGCCAGGAAAACAATGGAGGAAACGGAACTGGCGACACTACGTCGAGGCTTGTGCAAGATTACTCCACAACCGGAGACGACGCGAGGCTCGGTTGTACAGTATGCGAGGGTGACAAAAGAGAGCCTATGAACTCCAACCAGGCCTTTTCTAACAACCCTATAGATTTTGCAAGAGAGAATGGCCAGTCACATTAACTCGTGCATTGGCCTATTGACCCTTATTATCGTTTTCTCGACCCAGCAGCAGAATCTTGAAGCCCGAGGATAGAGCTGCAGGCACAGCGACGGAGGGTGACGCTACAATGCTGAACACAAGGAGTCAGGACGCCGTTGCAGCTTAAAGCGACGGTGCACATTTGCCACCCAAAACCCGGAACCCTGGCGAACTGTTACTGCGGATGGAAAGTGTCCGCACGAAATCCTGGTTTTCGCCAGCCAGCACTTTCGCGCTGGCAAGCCTGGTTCAAAAAAAAAAACTTCTGAACCCAACACTGCCAAAAGTTGCCCGTCGCTTTAAACACCTTGTAAGGACTGAAATGCAGCTCGGCTCAGAGACATACAGGAGACCGTCCTCGGCCTGAAAGGGCTAAGCTAACGTTCCGTCGACCGTCCTGCGGGAACAAAAACGGTACTGAGAGAGTAATAATGTTGTTAAAGACACCTTGATATTGTCGGAGAAAGGTGGACTGGTTTTGCCTGAATCTGGCAGGTTGGACGAAAACGAGGACGAACGAACTTAGGTGTAACTAGAAAGGGCTACGCGATGTATATCAGCGAGTAGGATTTTGGCACGTCGACTCTACTCTGAAGTTTTTTCGCCGTTCTCGCAAAAGTACTTTAGTGGACGCGGATGCGTGCAGTCAACGTGTTCGTTGTGGCTGTGAGATGCCGATGACAACGACAGGAGCAAAGTTCATGCTACGTGGCTGGCAGAACGTCCAGGAGCCTGGGGAGGGGCTGATGTGGCATACTCACACGACCTCGCTGATTGGCATACGAACAGACTGTCGTCTTGGATGAAGTCCACAGGTTCATGGATCAGATATGGTGCCGAGCTTGCAGCGGAATCATTGCCAAGAACCCCAGACGCTGGGTTAGTGTATAAAATGAGGCGTAATTTAGAGGGTACAAGTATGCTGTAAACAACGAGCACATAAGGATGTATCTTTATGACAGTTTTCGTCAAACCACCGAGATGAAACTGTACCCGTCAAATGAACTTCCTAGCTATATTCTACCTCTCAGCGGGATTTTCCCCCTTCAGTTATGGGTTTTGCAGAGGATCAACCTACAAACGAGAGAACGAGAATCTCGTACTAGCTCTTACATATTGGGCATTTTGTTTCCACATGCTCGAAACAATTTCCCCGTGTCTTCGCCAAGCATGATCCACTTCCGAGAATCCTGGGATATTCCGACCGAGTTACCTGAGTCTGGTTGGGACGGATAATTTAGTGATAACTAATTCCAGTTCGTTCCAAGCCTTTCTATTTCCCATCTTCAGCCTCTCGTTTCTGCGACCAGTGGTTCCAACCCTCAATACTTGAGGGATGCCACCTGCTTCCCACTCGGCACCTCTTTTTGTTGTCAAACAAAAGATTCGTCGGTATTGGGCAGCACGTGAGTCCCCACAGGTCAACAAGAAGGTTTCAAAATCCCAAACCCAATCCTTCATAACAGCTGACTCGTTATGAGCTGACCAAGAAACAAGACACCACAGATTAACATCTCCACGGTAACAAACACTCATTTCAAAAACAAAATGTCGACCATGGAAAACTGCTGAAAAGGCACATCGTTGATGTTCGACACTGCAAATGGTTCCGCCATCGTTTCAATCATGAACAAATTGAATTGTTGTACGCGCTTTCCACGTGGCCAAGGTACCCTGGAGCTTTCTTTTTGGGCAGCGCGGAAATGGCGTCAAGTTGCATCTTCCCGCCGAAAGCAGCGCGCCATTCTCGCTGCGCTCTTGCGCTCCGTCCTTATCTCCATGCGCGAATCTGAAACAGTTTCAAACAATAAACGTGCACTTGAATTTACAGATGGTGCACTGGATAATCCCCTGTCAGAGCCAACGAGAGCAGGACACGTGGCGAATTTGCCGTTCCCTGCTGACATATACAAGGCTCTGCTGTCAGGCGAAGGGGACCAGGACGAGGAAGAGGGAAGGGGTCAGGCGGAGGAAGGGGAGGGAGAATGGGAGGGGGAAGGAGAGGGGAAAGAAGAGGGGGAAGCAGCGGCAGAAAAGGGAGGAGGAGGAGAACGGAAAGGAGAGGGAGGAAGGTACTTACCTTGTGAGAAAGAAAAAAACACTTCAATTTCTCGCCTCCCTCCTGTTTCCCTTCATGGTGTACCGCGTCGCCCCCTTTACAAGCACGTGGCGGCCGCGCTCTTTCGCTATTGTCACGCAGGAGGCTTGCCTTCAGCCGTGCTGACGTGTCAGGGGATGGAGGAGAAGGAGGGGAGGCGTGAAGAGGAGGTGGGTCGGTGGCATGGGACTGTTATGGACGCTGGTGGCCGGCTTCTGGAGCTTATAGAGAAGCTTTGTAACGAGTACAGCAATGTTAGTGGTCCATGGAAGGAAATGAATGAATTTACAAATATTAAGGATTTGGAGCGAATGGGGAAGTGGGAGGTGGGGGAGCAGAAGGAGGGGGGGCGGAAGGAGGGGGAGCAAAAGGAGTGGGGGACAGGGGAGAGGAAGGAGGGGCATATGGAGGAGCGGAAGTTGGGGGAACGGAGGGCTCGCCAGCTGCATGTGCAGGCGGAATACCTGAAACAGCTCTCAGGTCTGAAGGAATGGGGGAAGGTGGGGGCTTTTGAGACGTCTCAAAAGTCGGAATACCTGAAACAGCTCTCAGGTCTGAAGGAATGGGGGAAGGTGGGGGGCTTTTGAGACGTCTCAAAAGTCGGAATACCTGAAACATCTCTCAGGTCTGAAGGAATGGGGGAAGGTGGGGGGCTTTTGAGACGTCTCAAAAGTCGGAATACCTGAAACAGCTCTCAGGTCTGAAGGAATGGGGGAAGGTGGGGGTCTTTTGAGACGTCTCAAAAGTCGGAATACCTGAAACAGCTCTCAGGTCTGAAGGAATGGGGGAAGGTGGGGGGCTTTTGAGACGTCTCAAAAGTCGGAATACCTGAAACAGCTCTCAGGTCTGAAGGAATGGGGGAAGGTGGGGGGCTTTTGAGACGTCTCAAAAGTCGGAATACCTGAAACAGCTCTCAGGTCTGAAGGAATGGGGGAAGGTGGGGGGCTTTTGAGACGTCTCAAAAGTCGGAATACCTGAAACAGCTCTCAGGTCTGAGGGAATGGCGGAATACCTGAAACAGCTCTCAGGTCTGAAGGAATGACTTTTGAGATGTATCAAAAGTCGGAATACCTGAACCAGCTCTCAGGTCTGAAGGAATGACTTTTGAGACGTCTCAAAAGTCGGAATACCTGAAACAGCTCTCAGGTCTGAAGGAATGGGGGAAGGTGGGGGGCTTTTGAGACGTCTCAAAAGTCGGAATACCTGAAACAGCTCTCAGTTCTGAAGGAATGGGGGAAGGTGGGGGGCTTTTGAGACGTCTCAAAAGTCGGAATACCTGAAACAGCTCTCAGGTCTGAAGGAATGGGGGAAGGTGGGGGGCTTTTGAGACGTCTCAAAAGTCGGAATACCTGAAACAGCTCTCAGGTCTGAAGGTGGGGGGGAGGGGTAAGGGAGGGCGAGGGGAAGGGGGGGAAGGGAGCGGGTGAAGGGAGGAGAGATAGGTGGGCGGGATGAGCAGAAAAAAGGGATAGAAAAGGGCGGGCTGGGTATTAGTGGTTGGAGGAGGGGAGATTTTCAAAATGCATGTTCATGGCATGGGTTGGTGGGAACGATGCATAGGGCGGGGGAGGAAGGGGGGGGGGGAGGGAGAGAAGGGGGGGGGGGGAGATGATGGATGAATGGAATGTCTCTAGTTCAAGGCAGCTAGTTTCTTTGAGTAGATTCTGTGGGTCCGACTGGGTGGGAGGTGTAGGCGGGGTGGGAGGGGGGAGGTGAGCAGGATGAGTTCTTTGCTGCAGGGGGGGGAAGGAGAAGAAGGATTTTTGCCTCTTATCTGTCTTTTTTTTTTCACTCCCCTCCCCTTTGTTCCTGGTTACACTGCAGAGGGAGCCAAGAAGGTGGAGGGGCGATGCAACCTGCCCCCTTACAGCAGGTAGGGCATGACTGTTTACAGAAGGTGGAGGGACTTTGATGCTGCCATTGGTTGCTTCTACTCTCTATGGACAATCAACAATAGTTGCTGGTCCCCATTCCAGCTTGCCCCTCTCTGGCCCTCACCGAATAGCCTCCCTTTTCCCACTGCCGCCCATCTTCCTCCTCCTCCTCCTCCTCCTCCTCCTCCTCCTCACCCTTCCCCCGTCTCTCCCTCCCCCTCCCAACACCCTCTCCCCCAGCATTATTGCCGGTGATTGCATCACATTCAACAACACCCTTACCCTCGCCGTTCAGGTAAGCTACAAGTCTCTTTTGAGAGTTCTTAAAAGAGTTTTTTCACCTTCCATCCATGACTGCCCCCTCCTCCCTCCTCCCTTGTCCCTCCTGCCCCTCCCACCCCACCCCTCCGCCCTCCACTACCCTCTCCCACCCCACTCTACCCCACCCCACCCATTCCCAGTCCGTGCAGGCTTACCCCACCTTCCCCCTCATGCTGGCGTCTGAAGGGCTCTCTGCCGTGCTTCCTGGAGTCGAGGCATTGGAGGAAGGTGCGAAGAAGGTGTGAGGAAGGTGCGATGAAAGTGAGGCGAAGGTGAGAGGAAAGTGCAAGAAATGTGAGGAAAGGGTATAAGGGTCGGGGATTCAATGGCTGAGGAGAGTCTTTTTGAAAGTGAAAAGTCAGTTGGAGAGGAAAAGGGACTTTTTTTACTACAAAGTTGAACCACAATCTTCTGTTATTGTATTTTTCCTTCCTTTTTCCAGGACTAACAGTCTATCGTCGGTTCTACTCTGAGGAAAAAGAGCACCGAGCGGGCGTGCTTGCATTGAGAGTAGAGCCCACTATAACGGGGATGGAAAAGACAGAGGATTTTCAACAGCCGTGCGGGTCTGGTGACATGGATGGGAGCCATGCTGACGTGGTCACATGTCAAGCTGCTGTAAAATCACAGCTGGAGTCCCAACTGGCTTCGCTTATCCACCGAATCCTCATTGTAAGCCTCTCCGCTCTTAAGTTAAGCACGGCCTGTGAAATCCGCGTGCATTGAGGTGTATTTTGAGGTGCCTCAAAATACACCTCTTAAGTTCAGCACGGCCTATGATCCCTTTACCTTGTTGTTTCCTTCTACTGCTCTCCCTCTTGAATCTTTTCTTCTTCCAACTCTCGCCTCCCTTCCCCACACTGCACCCCCCTCCCATTCACCCTTCCCCTCCTCCCTGCCTCCTCCCAAATCTTCCCATTCACTCCTCTCCCCCACTCCCGGCATCCTCCCAAATCCCTCACTCACATAAAATGCCAATCACAATCCCTGGCAGGCCATGGGTCCACGTGGCGTGAGCCGATTGGTGGGGATGCGAGTGACTGAGGGGAGTGTGCTTCCCGCCCTGCCTCCCTCTCGCTCTGCTCTCATAGCCTCCTTTCAACAGCCTGTGAAAGGGGGGGTGAAGGGGAAGAAAGAGAGGAAGCAGCGGCAGAGAGAGCAGAAGAGGCAGTCAGAAAAGAGACATGATGAGAAGGAGAAGCAAGTGGGCCAGAGTGGGCAGGGAAAGGGAGAGCAGGAGCAGCAGGATCAGCAGCAACAACAAGAGCAGGAGGAGCAGCAGGACAAACAGGAGCAGCAGCAGCAGCAACAGCAAGAGGAGCAGAAGGGGCATCAGGAGCAGGAGCAACAGGAACAGCAGGAGCAGCAGGAGCAGCAGGAGCAGCTGTCCAGGCTCATTGGATGTGCAGCAGAGAGTGCAATGTGCTGCAGTTGCCAAGGCGATTCAGATGTGGGGTGTGAACCGGTTCAATACAACAGGAATTCGGTGTATCAAGGTGCATGCAGTGGGGAATGCGGCCATCAATTCAGTTGTGAATGTAGTGTGGCATGCAGAGGTGCCACACACCTGCCTGAAAGGCCGTTGCATATCACTTGCACGTGTGAAGCATCTCTGGAGTTGCGTGCACAGGCTACTCTGGTGCTGCCATGTGCTTGCAGAGGTGGACGAGGAGGAATAACAGCAGGAGGAGGAGGAGAAGAAGGAGGAGAAGGAGAAGCAGGAGGAGGAGAAGAAGGAGGAGAAGGAGAAGCAGGAGGAGGAGAAGAAGGAGGAGAAGGATACTTCTTACATGAAGACCGGATAGCAGCAGCTCAAGCACAGGGCACATATACACCTGCTAGCACCCAAGGCAAAGAACCGCCGGCTGACTCACACCCAGGTGCATTGCTGCAACAAGCAGCTCAACCACCAGTGCTGAAGCCCCACCCTCGAGCGCATGTGCAGCCGTTGACAGTGGGCGCGAGAGCTCTCTCGAAGCACTGCCACCGGGGGAGAGACGGATTCTGGGGCGATGCCTCTGGACCAGGTCGGTTGGTGCATCGCATTGCCTCTGGACCAGGTTTGTCCTTTTTTATTCCATCCGTGCTCTGTGAGGCACTGCAAACCATTCCGCCTGAGCCGTACCCGTTTCCTCTGTCTGTCTGTCTATCTGTCTCTGTGTCAAGAAATTCGCCTTTGTGAGGCACCTAGAAAATCGCCTTCGTGAGCCCTGCTTTTCTCTCAAGTAATAAAGTACTCTACCACCCATTTGTTCCCCTCAGATGCATGGAAGAACCAGCACGCCGTGCAGTGTCTCACCAGCCTGTGAGACGGCGCCACGTGGATGAACGTGCATGCCCTGCTGCACGACCTGCTGCTCTCGATTCGCCTCTCGTTCTCACTCTTGATCCGCCCCTGCCTCTGCTCACCCGTTCCCCTTCAGACGCGAAGAAGAACCAGCATGCCTTGCAGTGTCTCACCAGCCTGTTAGACGGCGCCACGTGGATGAACGTTCATGCCCTGCCGCATGACCTGCCAGTGTTTGAAGTGCGGGGGAGAGAAGGGTACGGGGCCAGATGGAGCGCAGATGGCTCTCAGGTGAGAGGGATTGACAAGCATGTCAAGGGATGAATGTACATTCGCTGCCACACGACCTGCCGGTGTTTGAAGTGCGGGGGAGAGAAGGGTACGGGGCCAGATGGAGCGCAGACAGCTCTCAGGTGAGAGGGATTGACAAGCATGTCAAGGGATGAATGTACATTCGCTGCCACACGACCTGCCGGTGTTTGAAGTGCGGGGGAGAGAAGGGTACGGGGCCAGATGGAGCGCAGATGGCTCTCAGGTGAGAGGGATTGACAAGCATGTCAAGGGATGAATGTACATTCGCTGCCACACGACCTGCCGGTGTTTGAAGTGCGGGGGAGAGAAGGGTACGGGGCCAGATGGAGCGCAGACAGCTCTCAGGTGAGAGGGATTGACAAGCATGTCAAGGGATGAATGTACATTCGCTGCCACACGACCTGCCGGTGTTTGAAGTGCGGGGGAGAGAAGGGTACGGGGCCAGATGGAGCGCAGACGGCTCTCAGGTGAGAGGGATTGACAAGCATGTCAAGGGATGAATGTACATTCGCAGCCACACGACCTGCCGGTGTTTGAAGTGCGGGGGAGAGAAGGGTACGGGGCCAGATGGAGCGCAGACGGCTCTCAGGTGAGAGGGATTGACAAGCATGTCAAGGGATGAATGTACATTCGCTGCCACACGACCTGCCGGTGTTTGAAGTGCGGGGGAGAGAAGGGTACGGGGCCAGATGGAGCGCAGACGGCTCTCAGGTGAGAGGGATTGACAAGCATGTCAAGGGATGAATGTACATTCGCTGCCACACGACCTGCCGGTGTTTGAAGTGCGGGGGAGAGAGGGTACGGGGCGAGGTGGAGTGCAGACGGCTTGCAGGTGAGAAGAATTGACTAGCACAGACATGCAAGGGGAGGGGTTGAACCATGAAGGTGCATGCCCTGCCACATGCCCTGCCACATGCCCTGCCACATGCCCTGCCGGTGTTTGAAGTGCGGGGGGGGGGGGGGGGGGGGGGGGCGGGGGGGTACGGGGCGAGATGGAGTGAAGGTGGCCCTGAAGCGGGAACAGTTGCTTAGACACCAATGTATCATTTGGACACCACCTGGATCATTGTCCCACCACACCCATCTCACCCATCCCACTCAAGTGATGTCACCCATCCCACCCATCCCGTGTTTCCGCCACCCACTCGAGTCCAACAGTTTCGGGGGTTTCTCGAGCCACAGATGCCTGATGGTCATGCCAGAAAATGGAGGCATTGACACAGCAATCACGTGAATGCATTGACAAAACCGGCAATCTTCGCGTTAGCCATGAGATGTGGTGGCGGAGGACTTTTTCAGGCGCCTCAAAAGGTGGAGGAGACATTGACACTACACCCATGAACAGATAGGCTTGCACATAAAGTGAAGCAATCTATTTGCTGGCAAACAGATGTGAGGGGTTTTGTAAAGTTTTGTGCTTTCTTCATGTAAAGTTTTTGGGAAGTACGTACGCGTCATGTAGGTTTTTGGGAAGTACGTACAGTCGCCACGTTCGATTTTGGGAAGTGGTTTCCTCGACGCTTCCCGCTTGCGTGATGCCCCTCCTCCACCACCCGCCAATTCGCATCTCCCCCGCAACGCAGCTGACAAAAGAGCATGCCTTAGGAATTGATAGCGAGTCTGTCTCGTCTCGTGCTTGTCACGTTCCCATCTGCGAATTCTCGACACTTCGACGCTCGTTTCCGCACCCAGCCCTGTCGCGTTCCGTTATCGCCTCTCCGATTTCTTCCCCTTTCCTCCTTCCCTTCCCGCCTTCGCCGTTCCGCCGTCGCCTTTTAACGTTCGCCCTTGCCCGGCCCGCACGCCGTTCCGCCTTCTTCTCCATACGCCCGTTCCGCCTTAAACTTTCCGCGCGCGCCTTCCCCTACGCGCCCTCTCCCCTCGCGCCTTCCCCGCGCGCCGTCATGGTCGCGTTCATCGTAGGCAACAGTCATCCCGCCATCCCCGTTTCCGCCATCCCCACTTCCGGAGAATTATCCGCCGGTTCCGCCGCGTTCCCCGCCGGTTCCGCGTTCCCCGCCGGTTCCGCCGCCGCCGCAACCTGCGGCTGCGCAAGCAGGTCGCCCAAGCCGACAAATTTAGACCGAACCGATGAAGCGCAGGTTTCGAATCCTAGCCGTCCGACCACTTGTTGCGGAACCGACGGTCGAGATGTAGCTAAACGGACGGAGCTGATTCCAGGCCTGCCCGATGACGTGGCAGTAAAATGCCTCGCGCGAGTGTCGATCGTCTGCCACCACAGGTGCGGTGCCCTTCCCCTGTCTCTTTCGCGTTTTGCTCCTCTGCCGTGCCTTGTCGGCCGAGGAGCAAAGGGTGAACGCGTGAATGCCTCGCGCGAGTGTCGATCGTCTACCACCACAGGTGCGGTGCCCTTCCCCTGTCTCTTTCACCCTTTCCTCCTCTGCTTTTGAGACGTCTCAAAAGCCTCCACAGGTGCGGTGCCCTTCCCCTGTCTCCTTCACCCGTTCCTCCTCTGCCTCCTCGCCCATCTCCTCTCCCCTTTCCCCACTCCTCTGCCCTTCCGTTCTCCTCCTTGAATTCTCCCCCTCCTCCCCTTCCCCCCCCCCCCCCCCCCCTACCCGCACCTCTCGTCTCTCCTTTATCCTCACCTCTTCTCCTGCTTCTCCCTTTTCCCCTCTCCCAGCGCAAGGTGCTAGGCTGTCTTCCGCGCATGGTGATTTTTGAGGCGCCGCAAAAGCTGTCTTCCGTGCATGGCACACTCACTTCTCTCCTCTTTCCACCTGCTCTGTCAGCTCATATCTTTCTTTGCTCTCCTCCTTCTTTTCCCTCTCCGCCCTCTCCCCCCCATCCTCAGCTGCAGGGCTGTATCCCGCACATGGCACGCTCTCTTCGCCTCGCCGCTCCTCTTTTCCGCCCGGCGAGTCGAGGGGCGGCAGGAGCAGCTGCTCGCGCTCTTCCACGGGGATCCCTCCGTTTCGGGCGGCTGGCTGCTGCACCAATCACAGCGCGACACGTGTCCCACATCCAACCAATCACAGGTCACGGGCCCCTCACCCTCATCCAACCAATCATGCAGCGCCACGTGGCGCCGCCGGCGCATCCCTCCCATGACCCCCACGCTCAACACCTACGGGCTGTCGGGGTTCGGCCTGGCTGCTGCTGACACGTGTCTCTTTCTGATTGGCGGAACAGTTTTCGACGCCACCGCCTATCCATCCGATCGACCCGTACCCACGTCCGGAGTGTTCTCGTTTGATCTTATCTCCAACCAATGGCGCCAGTGTGCTTCTATGGCGGAACCTAGAGCCTCTTTCGCCGCTGCCTCCCTCCCTTTTTCTTTGGCTAGCAGCAGCGGCAGCGGCGGCGGCGGCGGTGGCGGCAGCGGCAGTGGCGGCAGCGGCAGCGGCAGCAGCAGCAGGAGAAGCGAATTCACAGGTTTGTCAGTTAAGAGGGTTGGCAGATTGGTGGTGGGTGGCGAAATGGAGTGCATGGGAAGTGAAGGAGCAGTTCTAGTGGCAGGGGGGAGTCACAGCCCGGCCCCTGCTATGGCCGGCAGTGTCCAGCTGGCAGCCGCTGAGTGGTATGACGTGGCAAGTGACACGTGGCATCCTCTCCCGCCACTGCCAGAGGCCAGAGGGGGCTGTGTGGGCGCGCTAATTTCTTTGTCTGCTGGCGGTAGTGACAGTAGGGGGGGCAGAGGTGACAGCAGCAGGGGCAGGTGTGACAGCAGGGGGGGGCAATGTGACAGTACCAGGGGTAGGTGTGACAATAGCAGGGTCAGATGTGACAATAGCCGGGGTAGCTGCAGGGAGGAATGCAGCAGCGGCAGTGAGAATAAGGCGATGCTGGTGGTCGTGGGAGGGTTTGGTTCGGAACCGGACTGGCAAGTACCCGCAGGAGTGGTGGGTGCTGCTGCTCCAGTCCGGCAAGTGAGAGCCTTCCTCCCCTCCGCTCGTGCATGGGTCCCAAACCCTTCCGATTCCTCAAACTCCTCATATCCCTCAGACTCCTCAAATCCGTCAAATGCGGCGATGCTGAATCCAAACCTCGCAGCTGCTAGTGGTGAGCAGGATTTGAGGCTCTCATCAGCTGCTGGTGAGAATGGGTTGACTCTCGCAGCAGCAGAGGCGGTGAGTGGGGTGTGCTTGCCATTGGAGAGAATGAGTGCAGGCCCGGTGGCGGTGCTGCATGGGCGGCTCTACATGCTGGCAGGTAACACCCTCCTGCGCCTTGGGCCCGCCTTGGACATTCCTCACATCGTCACCACCACCACCACTAGCACCAGCACCAGCACCAGCACCAGCAGCAGCAGCAGCAGCAGCAGCAGCACCACCACCACCACCAGCAACAGCAGTGGCGGCGGCAGCAGCGGCGGCGGTGGCAGCATCAATAGCAGCAGCAGCGCCAGCAGCACCAGCAACAACCATCCGAAGCAGCAAGGTTCTTGGGTATGGCACCGAGTCACCACCCTCCCATTCGCCGACCCCACAGCGGGGTTCTTCGCCCTCAACAGCGAGCTCTTTGTCGTCCCCACCACTCAGTTCCTCTTTGGTTGCGGCCGTTCCAGGCGCCTGCCCCCCCAGCAGCACGCCTACTGCCCTACGACTAACACGTGGCGCACTGAGCCGCTGGTTGCTGTGCTTCAGGGAGTGAGGATGGATGGGGGAGGAGGAGGAGCGGGAGCAGGAGGAGTGGGAGGCGGAGGAGGTATGGGAGGTGGAGGGCTGAAGACGGCTGTAGTGGTGTGCTTGTAGGCAGAGATGCTTGCTCACATCAACCACAGCGGGGTTCTTGGCTCTCAACAGCGAGCTCTTTGTCGTCCCCACCACTCACTCCCTCTTTGGTTGCGGCCGCTCCAGGCGCCTCCCCTCCCAGCAGCACGCCTACTGCCCCGCCACCAACACGTGACGCACTGAGCTGCTGGTTGCTGTTGTTCAGGGAGTCTTGATGGATGGCCGGGGCGGGGGGAACGGCGAAGGAGGAGATGGAACAGGGGGGCAGGTCGGAGGTTGGGAGCTGGGGACGGCTGTAGTGATGTGCATGTAGGTGCTGCACGCCTGCTTCCCCCCAGCAGCACGCCTACTGCCCCGTGACCAACACATAGCGCTCTGAGCCGCTGGTTCCCGTGCTTCAGGGGGTGAGGATGGATGGCCGGGGAGGGGCAGGAGGAGCAGGGGGAGCAGTAGGAGGAGGAGGGGGGGTTGGAGGTAGGGAGCTGCTGAAGACGGCTGTTGTGCTGTGCATGTAGGCAGAGCTTGCTGGCAGCACCCACAGTGGGGTTCTCATTTGGGTATGGCACCGAGTCACCACCCTCCCATTCGCCAACCTCGCAGCGGGGTTCTTGGCCCTCAACTCCGAACTCTTTGTGATCCCCACCGCTCACTTCCTCTCCGGCCGCCGGCAATCCAGGCGCCTGCCCCCCCAGCAGCACGCCTACTGCCCCGTGGCTAACACATGGCGCACTGAGCTGCTGATTCCCATGCTTCAGGGAGCCAGGATGGATGGCCGGGGCGGGGAGGGGCAGGAGGAGCAGGAGGAGGGGGAGTAGGAGCAGGAGGAGGGTGGGTAGGAGCAGCTGGGCGGGTTGGAGGTGGGGAGTTGGGGACGGCTGTAGTGATGTGCATGTAGGTGCTTCCTCCCCGGCAGCCCCGCCACCAACACTTGGCGGACTGAGGGGCTGGTTTCAGTGCTTCAGTGTGCGGACTGAGGGGCTGGTTTCTGAGCTTCAGTGTGTCAGGATGGATGGACGGTGAGGGGGGGAACAACGAGCAGGAGGAGGAGGAGGGGGTGCTGCAGGTAGGGAGTTGGGGACGGCTGTAGTCATGTGCATGTAGGCATATGCTTTCTTGCAACACGCTGTTAGCCACACCCCCAACACCCGCAGAAGCGGGAAAGGCTGGTTCCTGTTACGGTGTTGAGAGAACAACCATTTGTTATCATTCAGTTGATGCATTGTGCATACATTACCTCGGAGTAAAAGCCTTTCCTTCCCCTTCTCATTCTCATTCTCATTCTCATCTCGGAGCAGATGCTGCTCTCATTCTCTGTTGGCGGGCTAGGTCTTTTCCAGCCAAGCACCCTGTTGGCAAGCATGCTTTGGTGACATTGGCATGGTCCAGTAGCCTGGCTCACACTTACCTGCCGATGTCATTGATACGGTAGAAGCATCTTCTTCAGTAAAATACTCTCTCCACCATATGCATTGTCACAACTTCGCTGCCTCTGCAGCACTCGTAAACTACTCCCGCATAGCACTCTGGAATTCCTCTATAACACTCTGGCCCCCCTGCGTCCTCCTGACAACCTCCCTGCCCGCATTACATGGTCAGAACAGCCCATGTGTCACTCGTAAACTACTCCCCTTTTGAGACGTCTCAAAAGCCAGAACAGCCCATCCATGTGTCACTCGTAAACTACCCCCAGAACAGCCCAAACTCACTCCAGAACTACTCACACACTCTTCATCCTTCCAACAGCAAGCCCAAACAAGTACAAACCAATCCCAGCTGAACTGCCAGAAACCTGCCACCTAGATTCAGAGTCCATGTCACACACCACTACTAACTGCCTACTGTATGCCCGCAATGCCGCACCCCTTTTGAGACATCTCAAAAGTCGTTAGGTTAAGGCCCCCAGTGTCCCAAAACACCCCTTCCTTCCCCATATCCCAGCCGACCCTACGAAGGGAAATAGCTCTTGGCGATGCCAGCTCTCCTCATCTCCTTCCTCTCAATCAGCCCTTCGATGGTGCTATCCACCAAATCGACAAACTTCCCCTCCTCTCCCACCTCCCCCTCTCTCGTATGATCCCTTAGAAGCAGTCTCGGAATATGCTTATAAAGCTCTTCCCTCATCTCCCTCTTCCTTGCCTCCGATATCCCCCCCAGCACCTCTCCAATCCGAACCTTCCCACCAATCACGTCATCCGAAGCCACCATGACTGACACGTTCCTCCGAGCCTCATCTCCAATAGCAAAGAACCAGGGGTACTGATAATCAAACGTGCCTGGAGCAAACACTACAGGGATGCACCCTGCTATTATCGAGTCAAAAAAGGACCTTCTAGTGAGGCTATCCCCAATAGGCTGCAGGCAGAATTCAGACTGAAGCATCACACCAGCCACTCTCCTGGGGTCCATGCATCCCCTCAGCGGAAAATCCGGCTCAATTTCGTTCTCCTCCGCCTTCCCCTCCCTGCTGTCCCCCTCTTCCTTCCGTTTCTGCGCCTGCCGGCCTATCTCCGCCGCTGCTGCAGTCGCAGCCTCCGCATCGGCACCAGTACACTCTAAAAAGATGCACCTCTTAGGATCATTCTCACAATCGTTTAGCAAGATGCCTCTTAGCGAGCCCTCCCAGGTTGCATGCGCTCGCTTCCCGCCTACAAACGAGTATAGGTGTGGCCGGGGCTGCTCCCGAACATGCCGAACCCATCCCTGGAGCTCTGCCGAGCCTACCGGATGGAAGCAGGTCGGGTAAGGAACAGAAAATACCTCCCGCTCGTACCACTCGAGAGGAGCCTCCACTGTAAGGAGTGTGACATTCTTGAAGGTTCGACGCCACCACAGATCAGTCCCCCATCCCTCAGGCTTATCCAAATCGCGTTTAAAGTCCCAGATCGGACGGCCGAGAACGAGCACGTGATCGCCACGATTCACCAGCCTCTTGAAATCCGCATTTTCCTCGAGTAAATACCTCTCCAGCTCAATCACTGGATCATCTCGCTTCTCAAACAGCCCGTGTTCCACGAGCGACCAGATCGACCAGCCCAGGTACGCCGGGATGAACAGGAAATCTGCCGAGCCTGGGTCCGAGGTTCGGCAGGGGTGGTTCAGGAGTCGCGAGTGGAAGATGAGAGCTAGCATGGAGTTATCGGTGGCATACCACTGGTTTCTCCAACCCTCACTCTCCGCTACCCTGCTGCCGCCGTTGCCGTTGCCGCTGTTGCTGCTGCTGATTGAAAGCAGCCGTCGACCATCAGGTTTCGCCTTGCTGCTCCTGCTGCTAGCACGGCTGCTCCGCTCCTTCCCCTCAAACGAGTCGTCCCAGGGAGGCAGTCTGGTTCCCAGCCCTCCGTGCCTGCTGGTGGCGCAGAATCCCTTGACGTTGGTGTCCAGGCAGTCTTCTAACAGCACGCTGTTCAATTTCGAGGGTAAATTGTACACGTACACCTTCCGACCCTCGCACGCTTCCGAGTTTAGACCCCCGCCTTTGCGACTGCTACTCGCGCGGGGATTCCTTGCGTCGCCGTCGTTTCTCGACCCACTGATCTTCGTCCTCTTGCTTGGCGTGCCTTTGATGCTGCACTTCAAGTTTCCGGAATCGTCTTTCCCTCCCAGATTCTGAAGAAGCTCTTGTTCACGCTTCTGCCGCTCCTCTTGAGTTTCCAAGCGCGGTGTTGCCGTTTGACCCCGCTCATTCCGTTGATCCTTCTCATCTTGCCGATTCTGTGCATCCTGCTCCTTCTGATCCTGCCGATTCTTCTCATCCTGCTCACCCTGCTGATACTGCTGGCTCTGCTGTTCCTGCTGATTCTGTTGCCATGGCTCCTCCGGGTCCAGGCCGCTCAATCTTGCTCCCACCTCGTCTCCACGAACGGCTGAATCCGACACCTCCGTCGCTCTGTGCAGCTCCTTGGCATCAAAAGACGGAGACGAGATTGGTGACTTTAACGAAGGCCCGAGAGCTACGAAGTAGAGGACCAGCAGAACCACCCCGATTGTAGAACAGGTGGCCGAGGAGGAAGGGAAGCACAGCGTCGAGACTCGATCTCGATGATGTCCCATCATGAACTGCGACACGTCGCTGCTGACACCGTCTTCGAATGGGAAATAAATTCAAGTACGAAAGCACTAAGGAATACCCAAGACTGGAAGCTAGGGAAAATCACGGCCGTACCGCTGGAGATTAAATTGATCATACGAGCTGAGTTTCACGAGCCCACTTCAGCTACGGCACTTCAGGACAGACTTCATGCGCTCGCAACACATTGTCCTGAGCTACAAGCAAAACTCAGGTCGTCGCTAGGAGGTGGAAGATGAGGCACACAACGATTGGTCTAGTCTAGAAATGAGCTTTGCTGCAACGGTTAGCAAGAAAAGCAGCGTTTGGGGGGACTCCCCTTGGGAATTCCTTCCGTTCCGTAATGTGAGGTTCAGGGAGAACCTTCAAATCAGAGACTTTTCGACTGGTCAGTCCCCGGAGCGCGCTTGCGACAGCGGTTAGCGCACAGAGTGCCAGTCAGCGAATCGGTAAGGTGCTGCGAAGCCCTTACGAAGCAGCTGGGGCCAAGAGCGAACAGTTACAGACCATCACCAGCATTCTGGGCTGACGTGCTACTGTACTGTACAGTGCTACCGTACCGACGACGAGAGTTCGCCCGATTCGACAACATTTGTCTGCCCAACTTGTGACCCTGACAACGTGTCAGATCGAGCATATACGAAGACGCGTTAGCGGATATAGTACAGGTCCTACACATCCTAATAGAAACATCTTTTACCCCCGTCTACAGAGTTAAGAGTACAAAACAACATATCAGAATGCCTAATGAACTCACCCCACCTGATTCCCAAAATAAAAAAACGCTGGGAACTGACTAGGTGTTGAACCAAGGGAAATAATCACCGGCAGTTCCAGCTTCTCTCATCCTTTTCCTCTCAACCAAGCCATTGATAGTAATGTCAACCATATCTTCGAAAAGTCCCTCCTCTCCCACCTCTCCCTCTTTTGTATGGTCTCTCAGCAACAGCCTCGGAACATGAAGCCGTATCTCTTGTCTCATCTCCTCTTTCCTTTCCACAGATATCTTCCCCAACAGCTCCACAATCTTCACTCGGCCTGAAATCATATCCTCTGGATCCACCATGACTGCAATCTTCCGCCGTGCCTCCGGCTTAGGGTCAAAGAACCACGGATACTGGCTGTCGAACGTATCCGTGGAAAACACCACAGGTATGCAGCCTGCTATGATCGAGTCAAAGAAGGACCGGCGGGTTTGGCTGTCTCCCACTGGCTGGAGACAAAACTCTGCCCGCAGCATCGCGCCAGCTACTCTCCTCGGATCAGTGCACCCAGGAAGATCCACTCTAGGCTCTTCGTCCTCATTACCTTCAGCTATCCCTTCTCCTTTTCCTGCTGCTGCAGCTTTTCGACTGGCCGCCTCCCGACCGATCTCGGCTGCTGCTTCAGTTACAGCCTCCGCATCTGCACTGTAACATTCCAAAAGTAAGCATTTCTCTGGTTCGATCTCGCATTCCCGCAGCAGAGCTCCTCTCAGCGCACCCTCTATCGTCTCCTTTGCCCGCCTGCCGCCTACAAACGCGTACAGAAACGGCCGGGCGTGGTCCCGAGCGTGATTCATCCAACCCTGCAGCTCTGCCGAGCCTACAGGATGGAACGAAGTCGGGTAAGGAATGGAAAACACCTCTCTGCCGTACCACTCCCGTGTGGCCTCTACAGTAAGCAGTGTGACATTATTGAAGGTCGGCCGCCACCAAAGATCCGATCCCCACTCTTCTACCCTCCTGAAGTCCCAAATTGGGCGGCCGAGCACCAGAACATGATTCCCTTGATCCACTAGCCGTTTGAAATCCGGGTTTTCTTCCAAAAGATAGCGCTCGAGTTCGATTCCCGGCTGGTCCCGATCTACGAAGAGCCCGTGTTCCACGAGCGACCAGACCGACCAGCCCAGGTACGCCGGGATGAACAGGAAATCCGCCGAGTCTGGGTCCGAGGTTCGGCAGGGGTGCTGCAGGAGACGCGAGTGGAAAATCTCCTCGTTATTAACGCTCTCGGTTAAAAACCACTGGTTCCGCCAGCCCTCACTCGCACCACTAGTGCCGCTACTTTCTCCACTGCTCCCATCACCGCTGCCGCTGCCGCCACTGCTGCTGCTGCTGCTGCCTACGCTGCCGCTGCCGCTAGTCGAGTTGCCGTAGCTGCTGCCGCTGCCGCCGCCGCTGCCTTCTACCGCGTCGTCCCAGGGTGCGAGCCTCGTTCCCAACCCGCCGTGCCGGCTGGTGAGACAGAAGCCCTTGATGCGGCTCTCAACGCAATCGTCCACCATCCACTGGTTGAAGCGCGCCGATAGAGGGTACACGTAAATCGCCCGCCCCTTGCACGCCGCCCCCACGGTTACGCTCGCGGAGGCCCCCGTTTCACCAGAAGAATTCGCCGCACGAGATGCCCTCGCGGCGGCCGTGGCGGTTATGTCGAGAGAAGCGGGAGGGGTGGCCGTCGCGGTGGTGTTACTAGCAGACTCGCCCGTCGCAGCCGTGGGCTTCTCGCCCCTGCCCGCTCTACCGCCGCCCTCCCCGCCCGCGTCCCTCCCCCTGGCCGCGCGTTTCCGTTTGTCCCCCCCGGCAGCGGCTTGAGAGGCCGCATGGGAGGTGTCTAGTCGAGTACTGCTGCTGGGGGATACACCGACGTTCTTCCGATGTTTCCGATTAGTTTTTATTCGTTTCGTGCTGTCCTGTTTCGTTTGCCCCTGCTGCTCCTGTTTCTGAGGGCCTTGTTGTTCCTGCTGCTGGGTTTGCTGCTCCGTTTGCTGCGTGCGCTGCTGCTGCGTTCCCTGCTTCTTTTGCTGCGCGCGCTGCTCCTTTTGCTGCGTGAGCTGCTCCTGTTGCTGCGCACGCTGCTCTTTTCGTTGCGCGTCCTGCTCCTTCTGTTGCGCGCGCTGCGCCTGATGCTGCGTTCGCTGCTCCTGTTGCTGCGCACCCTGCTCCTGTTGCTGCGCTCGCTGCTCCTGCTTCCGAAGAGCCTGCATTTCTTTCCCATGCCACAGCTCCTGCTCCTGCACCCATTGCGCCTCCCTCGCTAGCTGCACCGATTTCTGCTGCTGCGTATCATCATCGCCCGGTTTCGTATCATCGCTGCCCTGCTGCGTATTGTCTCCATACTTCTCTTGACCACTCAAATCCCCAGCTTCCCGTTTTGGCCTCAGCTCCTGCTCCCATTGCGCCTCCGGAGCCAGTTGCGCCAGCTGCACCGATTTCTGCTGCGAATCTTCGTCCCACTGCTGCGTATCTTCACCGCCCCGCTGGGTAGTATCATTACCCTGCTGGGTAGTATCATCATTGCGCTGCTTCGTATTCTCTCCATACATCTCTTTGCCACCCAAGGCCCCGGCTTCCCGTTTTGTCCGCACGACCGTTACTTGCACGCTCGTTGCCAACCACTGCCCATCCACCTCCGTAGCTTCAGTTCCATGGACGGACGGGAAGGCGGAAGGGGCGGAAACGAAGGGCCGGGTGACTCTTGGAACGAGATTTAACGGCGGGCCAAGGATTGCGAAGTAGACGATCAAAAGGAGGACACCTAGAGCGGAGCACGTGAAGTGGGAGAGCAGGAAGAGGAAACGGGACGGTTTTTCGCAGTAATGCTCCATACTTCAACGCGGATGCAGTAGCAAGGCTAGTGCGAACTTGTGATGAAAATAACCTGTATTTCTTGCGGCGAGGGGCCTCTAATATTTGCGTTGCTGTGTGGCAGTTCTTTTGAAGACGGGTCGGATCAAGTCTGTCGTCGTCGTATCGGCGGGCAAATTGTTTTCTGAGTCGACTGGAAAATCAGGCCGTGGTCGTCGATTTGGCACGTGTACATAGGTGAGCGCACAGAACCCGTTGAGCGTCTGATGTGGCGGTAATTTTGGTGTACGAGAATAAGAGCGAGGTGACAGAAAAAACGGCCTAGGGGCGTGGACCTCTACTAGAACGAAAGGTGGAAAGGTGCTCTGACTGTAGTCTCCTCTACTTACATTCGGCAAGTTGCTGCTGCTTTGCTGCTCCTTCTGCTGCTGATAGAAAGTCTATTCACCATGGATAACAGCTTTCGCCGATCCCTGGGCCCAGTCCTGGCACCGGCCTGTAACCCGATCGTGCTTCTCTCCTACTGGCAACATTGGCCAGGCTAGCTAACCAGAAACCAGTCGAAACTGCCAGCAGCTCGCATTGTTCGTAACGCAAGCTGCAAGCTGATTGAGAAGCTGTGGGGTGAAGCTTCATCGAATCGAGTTTGCAGTCTCTCCAACCCAACCACATTTCTGTGCTGTGGGAAATTCGCGCTTCCCCTACAGACCGTCCGTTTTCCATCTCCACATTGAGGTGGGGAACATTGATGTGCGCGATTCGGATAAATCCGCACATCCACCTGCGATTCTCATGCCTGACCATTTCGATTCGAGCAGATGCCGGTGGGGCAATTGGCGTGGCGGGCCGGGCATCGCCAAACCACATTATCTGCGCCCATCAGACGAATATGATTGCCTAAGATTCCGAAGGTTTCGCCAAGGAAAGTTTCCAGCTGACCTTGAGACACGGTAATAAGCGTTTCAATTTGCGAAAACGCGGTTCGAAATTTCACTCAAGAAGGCTATGGGTGGGGAGGAAGGAGTACGGCCATTTCCTGTACGTGCTTATCTCCTTCTGGAACTTCACCGGTTTTTCCCAATAATAATAAATTCAAAACAAAAATGTGACACACCATGCGCTTACAGTTTTTAAACTGAAATGCTAATTGAGAAATTATGTAATATCTACAGATGTGCACACATTCGGAGACTAATACTTCAATAACCGTTGACATTGAACCACTTCCTACAACTTTATTTGCTTATGTCCCCAACACCACTTTCCCCATCCCTATCCATCTTTTTCTTCTTAAGCCCACTGCCACTTCTTCCTAGCCTAGCCTGATCTTTCGCAGCGGTGGTGGTGGTGGTGGTGGTGTGATCTAACGAGTCTGCAACTCTTTTCAGGCTGTAACGAGCCACTGGTGGTGGTGGTGGAGCATGTGCATCAGCATGTGCGTCAGCATGTGCGTCAGCATGTGCGTCAGCATATGCGTCAGCACGTGCAGGTGCATGTTGATTGTCAGGCGCATCCTCCTTTGTGAGCTCCTCCTTAATAAGCTCCTCCTCCACATGCCTCTTCGTCAGCAAGCCTCGCATCCACCTTTCTGACATGGCCCGCCGCCCCGCCCCTTCCTCCTCGTCCTTCCCTCGGCTGTTTGACAGTGGCGGCATGTCCTCTGGGCTATGTGCCAGCTCAGCATCCAGCAACCCGCCGCTATGTGCCAGCTCAGCCTTCTCCACTAAACCATCCTGACATCGTACAGCAATTGTATCCTCCCTCTCCCCCCTTGCCTCCCTCTCCTCCCTCTCCTCCCTCTCCTCCCTCTCCTCCCTCTCCTCCCTCTCCTCCCTCTCCTCCCTCTCCTCCCTCTCCTCCCTCTCCTCGCCCTTCTGCCCCCGTTCTTCTCCTCCACCTCTCAACACCTGGGCCTCTGCTCTCGCCTGTGCGTCCTCTTCCTGAAGCACCACGCCTCTCAGTTCCTCCCCATCCTTCCTGTCTGCTCTCTTCTCTCTCTTCTCTTTCGTCTCTCTCTTCTCTCTGTTCTCTCTCTGCTGTGCCACCTCCTGCAGGAGCATCACCCCCCCAGGCTCCACCGTATCCCCCCTTCCCTCCCCATCTCCCCTTTCCACCCTAGCCTCCTCAGTTTCTCTACGTGCCGCATCCTGCTGAAGCATCACCCCTCTCTGCTCCTCCCTACCCTCCCTATCTCTCTCCCATGCCACCTCCTGCTGAAGCATCAACCCCCGCAGCTCCACATGCCGCAGCAGCGTTTCCAGCTCGCTTGGCCTCACGGGCTTTGTCAGGAAGTGGTCCATGCCGACCTGAAAGACAGAGGGAGGAAAGGGAAAGGTTTACGGTAGTTGATTGACTTCGGAGAATCCTCACAACTCACTTGGCCTCGCGGGTTTCGTCAGGAAGTGGTCCATGCCCACCTGAAAAACAGGAGGAGGAAAGGGAAAGCTACTGGGAAACGTGCATCGTGTGTTACCTGATTGCACCGCACGTTACCTGAGTGCACCGCAATCGTTCATGCAGCAGAGCGCTGGCAGTGAGGGCAACAATGTATGGCCGACGTAGTGACCTTTGAGGCTCAGATGATGGTGACAGTGGTGGTGGTGGTGGTGGTGGTGACAACGATGGGGGTGGTAGTGGTGATGAAAGTGGTGGTAGTGGTGATGATGATGGTGGCTGTGGTGGTGGTGGTGGTGGTGACATTATTGAAGGGGCATGCGCCGGTGCTGATGGTGCTGCTGCTGCTGGTGTTTCTGCTGCTGCTCCTCTTCCAGCTCGTGCTGCTGCAACTGGTGTTTCAGCACATGCCCTTTCCAGGTCCTGTTGCTTTTCCTGGTCCTCTTGCTCCTCTTTCTCCTCTTGCTTCTTTGGTTCATCATCGCCCTCCGCCCTCTGCATCTCCTTCCTCCTGCCTCGAGCGCGGTGCAAGTACAGCCGTCGGATCTTCTCCGTGGCCTCAAAGCCGTCCATCACAGGCATGTGGCAGTCCTGAACGGTTGAGGGGAGATTGGGGAGAAGAGGGTAGGGGAGAAGAGGGTAGGGGAGAAGAGGGTAGGGGAGAAGAGGGTATGGGAGTAGGGGAAATGAGTGGGGAGAGAAGAGAGAAGAGTGAAGAGATGATCTACGTGGGAGGAGGGGGAGGAGGGGGGGGAGGAAGAGGAGGAGGAGGAGGAGGAGGAGGAGGAGGAGGAGGAGGAGGAGGAGGAGGAGGAGGAGGAGGAGAAGAAGAATGATTTGAAGCCATAAAATGTCAAACATCAATCTAACAATGGAAAAAAAGAACAAAAAAAAACAAAAAACAAAAAACCACCCACCATGAAAACCACGTCGTATTCCTTCCTCTCGCATGCCCGCACCGCCTCAGCCCCGTTCGAGGCAACATCACTGACAACCCCGAGGCTTCGGAGCATCCTCTCAATGACCATCTGGTTCACTGCGTTGTCCTCTGCTATCAGACACGCCAGCCCCTGCCGCCGCCTCCTCCTCTCCCCTTCCACCTCCCTCTGTTGCCTCTCTCTCCTCTCCTCTTCCTGTCGCTTCCTTCTCCTCTCCTCCTCCACCTCCTCCGGTTTCCCTGTCACCTCCTCCCCCATCTGCTTCTTCTCCTCCTCCTGCTGATCCCTTGGAAACCCCTCCGTTCGATGATCTTCTCTCTTGCTTCCCCCACCTTCATGGCAACTTCGCACCAACAGAAGCTCATCCTCTCGTCCTCTCTGCTCGTCCCGGTTGTGCCAGCTTTGGAGCTTAGTTGGGAGCTCGTTTGGAAAGGAATCTGTTGCTACGTGCAATGCGGCACTGGACTGGGCTGCACATGCCACAGGCATCTGCGCCTGCTGCTGTTTTTCATGAAAATGCTCTTGAAGATGCTGCTGCTGCTGCGGCTGCTGCGGCTGCTGCTGTTTTTCATGAAAATGCTCTTGAAGATGCTGCTGCTGCTGCGGCTGCTGCGGCTGCTGCTGCTGCTGCTGCTGCTGCTGCTGCTGCTGCTGCTGCTGCTGCTGCTGCTGCTGCTGCTGCTGCTGCTGCTGCTGCTGCTGCTGCTGCTGCTGCTGCTGCTGCTGCTGCTGCTGCTGCTGCTGTATTGGTAATTGTTGTTTCTCTTTAACGGAAGCTGCTCCCATCACAGTCGAAGCTCTCCCTTTCGTTTCTGGTGCTTCTCTTGCTGCTGTGGCTACTGCCACTGCTTTCGCAGGAGGTGCCACAAATTCCCGTTGTTCATTCATACCAGGATAGCCACTACCAGCAGCCTTTGCCACAGCTGAATTAGCTGTCTCACTAGGCACACCCACTCCTGCTCCTGCTCTTCTTCCTTGGCTCCCATCACTCACGGGCCCTCTCAGTCTTGCCGGCTTGCTCAAAACCTGCTCCAGTGAGAGGTGGTGGTGGCTGTTAGCGGTACCTGCAGCTAGATTGAGGCTCCTTCCCATCCCATCCCCAGCAGCAGCAGAACCAACAGCAGCAGCAGAACCATGAAGCGTACACCTCTCAACCGTTTCAAGCGCCTCAAAAGGGTGCAGCATCCCGTCTCTTAGCAAAGAGTCTTCCTTAAGCGCACACCTCGCAGCCGACGACACCGCGGCATTTATCGTGAACGAAAACGTCGACCCGACGCCGACCTTGCTAATGAGACGAATGTCGCTGCCCATGAGGCTCACGAGGGATTTGGAGATGGCTAGCCCGAGCCCAGTGCCACCGTAGCGGCGAGAGGTGGAGGGATCCCCCTGCATGAAGGCTCGGAAGAGGCGATCCGATGCGTCCTTGCTGATTCCCACGCCTGTGTCTGAGACGCTGAATGTCAGCCATGCTCGCTGCTGCTGCTGCTGCTGCTGTTGTTGCGGTGGCGATGTTGACTGCGGCTGCGGCCGCTGCTGCTGCTTCTGTGGTGGTGATGTTGACTGCTGCTGCTGCTGCTGTTGCTGCTGCTGCTGCTGCGGTGGTGATGTTGACTGCTGCTGCTGCTGCTGCTGCTGCTGCTGCTGCTGCGGTGGTGGCTGCTGCTGCTGCTGCTGCTGCTGCTGCTGCTGCTGCTGCTGCTGCTGCTGCTGCTGCTGCTGCTGCTGCTGCTGCTCATGCAATGGGTGTAGATGGTTCAAGTGCGCTGCTCCCACACGCATGAACTGTTAAGGAAAGGGGGGAGGTATGAGAGGGATGAGGGGGAGGGTGGAAGGACGATGCTACATAGCCCGCCGCAGCTGCTCCTCCTGCCGCAGCGTCTCTGTCAGGTAGTGCCACGTGCCCACAAACACACTGTCCCCGCCCACTCGCATGAGCTGTGCAAGAGAGGAATGGGTTGAACATACGGTGGGGGATGGGAAGGGGAGATATCAGGAAGGCTGCTGCTGCTCCTCCTGCCTCCTGCTCAGTGTTTCTGTCAGGTCGTGCCACATGCCCACAAACACACTGTCTGCTCCCTCCCACTCGCATGAGCTGTGTAAGAGACGGAGGGGGGAGCATGGGTGAAGGGGAAGAGGGAGGATATCGGGAAGGCTGCTGGTGCTCCTCCTCCTGTCTCAGCGCATCTGTCAAAATCGTGCCACGTGCCCAGCCCACACACACAGTCTCTCCTCCTGTAAGTCCAGAGAAACACCAGTCTATCACCTCTGTAAGAGTGCGATCATGGCTTGTGCAGAGGAACTTTACCTGGTAGTGAATCCGGAGGGGCGGAAGCTCCCCATCTTTCCTCCTGTAAGTCCACGGCACCACCACCTCCCCTCTCTCCGCCACCTCCCGCCCCACCCTCGCTGCTTTCTCCTCAGACCTCTCCCCGTCCGGCTGGAACTCGGGGGAGAGAGGCGGGGAGGAGCACCCCAGGGCAACAACAGCCCACCACCTCTGTACGCGTGCGATCGTGGCTTGTGCTGTGGGACTTTACCTGGTAGTGAATCCGAAGGGGCAGAAGCTCCCCATCCCGCTTCCTGTAAGTCCACGGCACCACCACCTCCCCTCTCTCCGCCACCTCCCGCCCCACCCTCGCTGCTTTCTCCTCAGACCTCTCCCCATCCGGCTGGAATTCGGGGGAGAGAGGGGGGGACGCGCACCCCAGGGAAACGGCGTGCCGAAGGGCCGCTTTGGAGGGGTAGCGGAGGAGGAGGAGGGCTGCTGGATTGCAGTCGAGAAGCTGGTGGCTCATGCTGTATACCACTATCGGATCCTGGTGTAAGGGGGATGATGAGTAGGGGAAATGGCGGTGAGGGGGACAGCCAGGGGGGATGGCGTGGGGGATGGAGGATGGGAAGAGGCGGGGGGAGTGGAGGGGGGGGGGGAGGGTTTAAGCTGGGGCTTTGGGGAGAGAGGGTGAGAGGAGCAGCCGAGGGCAACGGCGTGCTGGAGGGCCGCTTTGGAGGGGTAGCGGAGTAGAAGGAGGGCTGCTGGGTTGCAGTCGAGAAGCTGGTGGCACATGCTGTATATTACTATCGGATCCTGTTGTAGGGGGGACGAGGTGCAGAGGAGGGGGGTGCGGCGGGGAGGATGGCAAAGAGGATGAGGATGGAGAAAAAAATACTTCAAACTGCCCGAAAATTACTTTGAAATTTCCTCTATTTGTCACCATTAGCTTCAAAATTACCTTGGATTTCTCGTAAATGCTCCTGAACAGCCCATACTCCTGCAGTGCTTCTTGTAGCCTACCCGCTGCGTTTCTCGCCCACCGAACCACACCATCAGCACCAGCACCACCACCAGGAGCAGCAGCAGCAGCAGCATCAGCGCCACCATGTGTTTCTTTATAAGGCGCCTCGATACACGCTGCTGTTGTACCTGCTTCCACCGCCTCTAATGCCCCTCCTTGCGTTGCTCGGACAATCGCTCCAGCAGCAACTGCATCTGTGTCTCCTTTGTGAGGGTGTTCATCTTGTCGGGCTGCTCCTGCTCCAACAAATCCCCATGCTCCTGCTGCTGCTCCTGCTGCTGCCCCATACCTTGTCGCCTCCGTGGCCCCTCCTTGCCACGTTGCTCGAACTCTCGCTCCGGCAGCAACTGCATCTGTGGATCCTTCGTGAGGGGGTTCATCTTGTCGACCTGCTGCTGCTCCTGATCCTGATGCTCCTGCTGCTTCTTCTCGTGCTCCTGCTCCCGCTCCAGCTTCTGATGCTTCTACTGCTCTCGCTCCAGTTGATTCTGCTTCTGCTGCGCCTGCTGCTCCTGCCGCTCCATCCCCACACTCAACATTTGCTGCCTCCCCTGCTCTCGGAGAGGCAGTGCCTCCTTGCTCACTCGTTTTCCCCTCCCTCCCCCCTGCTATCTCCTCGGCAACAGCCGCACCGTCCCCACATATCACCTGCATCTCGTGAACCAGCTGCGGCCCCCATTCGGCCAGCTCTTCTAGGGGGAGGTGGCAACTGGGGTAGAAGAGACTGGGAGGACCAAGCGGAGAAGCATCAGTGGCGGTGATGGTGGTGGTTACGGTTGGTGCACAAGGGGGAGCACCGGTTGTTGTGGCAGGAGAGGCGGCAGGCTGAATAGAAGCAGAGGAGGCGTCTTTACTGAGGCGACACACAGTCTGGATTGCTTGATTTAGAGCTGAGACAAGTTGTGCTGTGGTTCTGCTGGTATCAGATTGTTGGATCTGTAAAGGAAAAAAAGAAAGAGCAGGAGAGGAAAGGTGTGTGGAAAGGGAGAAAAGGAAATAAATGTGTGCACCGACACACACACACACACACGAACACAAATACACACACATACACCACACACACACACACACACACACACGAACACAAATACACACACACACACACACACCACACACACACACACACCCACACACATACACACACACACACACACCACACACACACACACACCCACACACATACACACCCACACACCCACCCACACACACACACCCACACACACACACACACACACACACACACACACACACACACACACACACACACACACACACACACACACACACACACACACACACACACACAGGTGGCCCTCGTTTTACACATTACTACTCGCATCCCCAAAATTATAACCTACTATCGCCTCTGATTGAACACATCTATTGTGATTTGCTTCACTTTCAAGCCATGTAGACTTTGGGCGAGCAGGAATGAGCAGAAATGTTACCTGTGGGCTCAGCTCCCCATAAGTCTTCAGACGAAAGCTGGCCACCAGAAGGCTTTCAGAATCCAACTGACATGCTGTGTTGCCATCATGCGGCGTAGTAAAAGGATCACTTCTAGTAATACTACTGGTATGTGCCCTATCTTCAACTTGAAGGAGCTCCAGGGTGACTTCAACGGGAAGCGGAGCCTTCTGAAACGAAGCTTCTGGCGTGACTCTGTTAAGAAATGATGCACCTGCAGTACTGGAATCCGCAGCTCCATGATTTAGCAGAGGAGCAGTCGTAGTAGCAGTACCAATGCACTGACAAATTTTAGCGTCAGACGTTGGCAGAACGAGTTTCCCTTCAAGAATAATAGTGTTGTCTTTTTGGGAGACCAACTGATCGATAACTTCAGCCCAACTTGGGTTTGAACTAAAGCTGAATCTCCCCTTCGATTTGCGTCTGCAAGTGTTTGCAGTTTCCGCCTCCCCAGAAAGCTTTCCCTTGGGATCTACGAGGAAAATGTCGGTGAAGTGGAGGGTCGTGAGCTGGTTATCGCAGCAGCTGTCAAGCGCGGATAAAGCTCCTCTGCTGGCGGCGATGATGCGAGAATCTGTTGGTGAGAGAGCGAGCTGCGATGTTCCTCGGTATTGCCGTAGAAAGCGAAGCATTGACATGTTGGAGAACACAAAAATGGTAAGTTTGGAAGCGCCTGGTGGAAACGACGAGGAATGCAATAAGTAGTAGCCACGCTCAATCACGGAGTAGCAACAGCCACATATTTTTTTCGCAAGCAAAGATAGTAGCAAGCGTCCAGATCTGATTTCTTTACCAGAATACTATTTTGCAACGGATCTCGTGCAAGCAGGAATGTGGGCCCTGAGTTCTGCCTTCGCAGTGCTCAGTGGGGTGGTGGGGTGGGTTGAGAAGGGGGAAGAATCTGAGAGAATTGCTTGAGGGCTTTGTTTGGTGATTAGCTCTTGCCCACGTGTCCCCGAATTGCTCGCGTGGCCATCCAATTCAGTGATAATTGCTCGCGTGGCCATCCAATCCAGGGCATTTTCGAAGTGTTTTTTTCCCCGGCACATTACCCTACAAGGGCTTGTACCCCAAAATTTCTCATTTGCACGAATCTCATCCCGTGATAGTGTTTCGTACTATTCCCCACCCGAAAACGGAAGTATCATGTAAGTATGCAATTAGTGATAGGAAGGGGTGCTAGAGGGCAAAAACGGTAGAAGTTCTAGTATCCACTCTAAGAATTATCGATCCCTAACTTAGCGTTCTGGCTTACATATCGAGGGGAATATGTCTGGCACATTACGTGGTTTGGTTGGTGTCCGTATTTGGGTTGAGCTTCGTACCTCACGCGCGATTAGATGGTTACCGTATTTCGTTTGTAAATTTGTGATGTTACGAGGGCTTTATTTGTATTTCGAGCATTGTACTGAGGCGCGGATCGTTAGGGTTGCGATGTAACCACAAAGCCGAACTTACCAAAATATTCACAGTTGAAATGCGCATATCATAACCTGTCAACTGCACAAGATGGAATAACACCCATACGCATGACGCTCATATGCGCGGACCAATCAAACGCAATCCAAAGATGACCAGTCATATTTGTATGACAGTCAAAAGAGCTCGATTACATATGAACCGCTCATATGCACGGACCAATCAAATGCAATTCGGAAATGACCTGTCATATCCACGTGCAATTTGACCAGGCATACGCGCGTATGTTATGTCCGGTCATATGCACGTGTTTTATGCCCGGTCATTTGTCGAGGTACGATCTGAGCGATCTGTAGCATATGTTTCAATTCGCGAGAAGATGATACAGGCGTACCAAACCAGATTGAACGTTTTAATTTGAACCTAATTGGCCAGAGTTTATGTTTGTGCGAGTGTTTTCAGCATATGATTGGCGATGTCATATAGTCAATTGAGTTTCATTTACGCGGTCAAGTATGGTCGCAATCCTTAATGAGGACACCTGATTGGACACGTAATGCCAATAATTGCACCGCGCATATTATTGGCGAATCATGCGCCGTCGTTAGGGCTGTTGCGGTTTGATGCTGGTCAACTGAGGTTTATGATCGCGGATTTATATGCTCGAACAGTTATTGGTTATGGATTTGTTTGACCGCGCGCTCATTGGTCGCGCATTGGGCCGAAAATGACCGCGCATCTACTATTGGTCGTGCATTTTTGTCGGTTTTGTATACAGTGTGTGGGCAAAGTTCGCGCCTGCCACCCAACCGAAATTTTCGGGTGGGGAATAGTACAAAAAACTACCACGTGATGAGATTCGTGCGAACGAGGAATTCAGGGGGTACAAACCCTTGTAGGGTAATGTGCCGGGGAAAAAACACCTCGAAAATGCCCTGGCGTGGCCACTGAAGCAATTTTCAGTGAATTGAATGGCCATGCGAAAATTCGGGGACACGTGGGCAAGAGAGAATCACAAAACAAGGCCCTGAAGCAATTCTCTCGAAGAATCTTCTGGTTGGTGGACTTGCAGGCACGCGTGGAGGAGGGTCCCATCGAGCTTGTCCTCTCCCAACCAATCCCATCTGGAGTTCCCCAAACCTGCTCCGCCCCGCCCTGATCCCTCGCTCTAGATGTTTAGGGTTGAGTTGAACTCTGCCAAGCAGAGATTGCCCACCAGATGGGGTCAAATGCGGAGGTGGTGGATTCGGGTTTGATGCGGGGTAATCAGATCGGCGAATGTGGAGTGCCAAAGAGAAAAAAGGAGCTGGGTTGAACGCAGAACGGTTGAAAACGTGTTGGGCTGGTACGTAGGGGTTCGGGGTGTCCACTGACCATAAACCTGGGCTGGGAGGGCGGAAACTCGACCGCCAGCCCCCAAAACAAGGCACCTACTAGGGATTGCTGGCGGAATGAAACGAATGGATGGATCACTTGCTCACGACCAACCATGACCATGCGATCGGCCAGCACACCTCAACCAGCACAAGCTACAGGCTGTGGCATTTGCTGCAACTCTAGGGTTTCTGTCGTGTTGGTTGGTTGGTTGGCAGGGGGAGGCTGCTGGATGGAGAGGA